TCTGAGCTTGTGTTTGAACTGAGATTTTGGTGACTTATGGCCCAGTGCTCTGTGCTCTGTGCCACTTGTCTGCTTTAAGGTAAGGTTGGAAGAGTTTGTGGTTTAACATTTAATCCAATTTCCTCATTTGCAGATGAGAAAACTGAGGCCCAGAGAGGGAAAAGAATTTACTCAAGCTCCCACAACTGGTTAATGGCAGTTCTGGGACTAGATATGCTCTTTCCCTAGGGCAGGGATGGGGCATAGATGTAGCTCCTAGCAGTACAAGAAACCATCTAGTAAGCTGCAAATTGGGCACATATAAGTGGCCTTGGGTGAGAGAAAAGTAACAGCTTGGGGGCAAATTATTTTCTACAGAGGCTATAGTGAGAAAAAAAAGGAACAAAATTTCTCTGAGGTTGACACTGTCCCTTATCCACTTTATTGAGAAGGCATCTCTAGGAGGAATTCATGGTCAAAATGATATTCTGGCTTTCTCTGTCCTTTGACCCCACTCTCTTTACTTGAGTAAAACTAGTTAATTTCCAAAATTTCTGGATCTTGCTTAGCTTCTTGCTCTTCTCTTACTTCAATGTAAAACAGTGAAATCCAATGACTGCTTTTTCTACTTCTCGGTCTCAGGCCTGGAGTAGGTTTCAGTTACTCATTCATTCATTCATTCACTTCCTGTTCATACATTCTTTCACTCATTCATTCATTCATTCATCAGTCAAACATCTATCAATGACTGTGAGAGATATTAAGATGGAGATGTAGTCCCTCCCCTCAAGGGACTTATAGTCTAGTAAAGGAAATCTGCAATCAAACATGGGTAAGTGGAATGAAAGTTCTGACTTTTCCTTTATCGTCTAGAAAATCAGTTTTCGTGCCTGGGGCCAAAGCTTGCTCACTTTTTGAAAAATATGTGTTCTCCATTTTTCTCCTTCTCCAAGGACCCCAGAAAGGTTAATATTCTTCCTTTAAGTCAAAACAGTCTTAATATGAATTTGGGTGATTGGGAATCAGGAGATAAAGATTTCTAGTATCAGGTTACTAAGGAACAGGAAGTAATATTTCCAAGATCAAGCTATACTTCACAGCTTGCGATGGGGTTCTTCATCCAGATGGACCAAGATGGTTGAGGTCAAAGTCATGTTCACTCCATGGCTTGCCCAAGCATGGACCAAGAGTATCCTGGAAAATCAACAGCCACAACTTGCCTTGTTCTGTACCCCTCTTACATATGTCACTAAGTTTAGACCTGCGCTATGCCATTGGCTTTTCTTTCCTAATTACTATAAAAGCCTCAAGCAATCAGATAAATAGAACCTACCATGAAATCATTTCTTTAAGACTGACACTGCTAGATCAGCAGATGAGAAATGATCAAGAGCTTTCACACTGAATGGTGGTAAACTTGTAAGTGAGGAAGTGGCAGTGGGTAGGGAGTCAACAACTAACTGGGAGAGATTGCCTTAAAAAGGAGATGAATTATAATGCTTAACAGGGTTTTTTTTTTAATCTAATCATGGCAAAGAAAAATATTTGATGGATATTCTAATAAAAATCTTTTTTGGGTAATATGCTAGGTAGGCTCTTGTGCCCAGAAACAGTGACCACCAAGGCAAGGTCTTATGATCTATTTTGTATTATATTTATTTGAGTATATTTCACCTCCTTCCCTCTAACCCTAGATTTTCAATCCTTTGAGGGCAGAATCTATGACTTTGTTTTATGTTGGGCAAGTTGGTTAATTTCTCTGGTTCATAGTTTCCTCATCAGTAAAAATGAAAAGGTTAGACTAAATGTCAAACCCTACATTTATGGGCTTGATGTCTATCCCCAAATATCTACATTTGTACCCCACTTCTTACTGCTTAGCACAGTGATTTACACATAGTAAGCACTTCATAAATATCTATTGAATGTATGTATGTAAGGATGTGAGATCAGAGTCTCAATTCAGTTTAATTCAATAAACATTTATCAAGTGCTTAATATGTGGAAAGTACCATGATAGGCATTAGGTGAGATGCAAAGAAAAAAAAGCATGTACATCAAGTATGGGAACCAGTGCAAAGGAAAAGTTCAATGGAGAGAGAGGAGTAATTTCTGGAGAGAGGAATCACTTTTGGCCAGGGAGAAAGGGGTATATCTCATGGAGGAGGTCATATAACCCACAATGGGCTATGAAGAATAAGAAGGATTTTTAGTAAGAATCACTCTGGGCTACACCGGCAGGATTTAGGAGCTTCTCAGGGAGACCACTGAGGCATCTGATAGGAATGTTAACATTGGGTAGATTAGGGATTGGGAAAGTCCAGAGTCAATAACCCTGACCAATTCTTCTTGTGGTGCCCCAGTGTCTCCTTGGCCTGAGCTTAGGATTTGAAATGAAACCAGCTTTGGAAAATGGTTTCTCTTTTTATTAAACTGCAGCTCAAACAATACAAGAACAAAATGATTAGGAACTACAAACCCACACAATAACTTATAAAGTCAGTTAATGGTTTAAAGAAAAATAAATAACAGTGACATGATAGACTGCTCAGGAAAGTTGTCCTTAAACTGTTGGTTCAGAGCATTAGTCTTCAAGGATTTTCAAGGGGAAAAATGAGAGCTTAAGTATAAGATCCTGGGATCTGGAGTCAGTAAGGATTTATTTGTCCCACTGCTATTTTTCAGATGAGGAACCTGAATCTAGGGTTAGACAGGCAGTAGGTAGTAGAGCTAAAATCTGAACTCAGGTCCTCTGACTCTAATAGAATCCTGTGCTCTTTACATGATGCCATAATGCTCTTCATATACCACCTACTAGTTGTCAAAAAATGCATTTTCACACTGCACAAAGCCAAAATGACTGGAACACCTTTTTACATATATACACTCCAGTGCATACACATGCACACATATGCATAGAAACATACACATTCAGTGACCAACTAGGTCTGCAAATAGACCATTAGATCAGGGCAGCTAACAAGTATAGTCTCCCTCTGTGACTCAGCTTCCCATAAGTAATGTTGTTATACACACCCAGCTGCTGGCAAGGAATCAGAAGACAAAGACTATGGTATTGTGGATAAAGTGTTGGATTTAGTATTAGGAAGACCAGGGTTCAAATTCTACCAGAGATACTTACTAACTGTATGATCTGAGCAAGTCATTTAACCAATTCAGGCTTCAGTTTCTCCATCCAGTAATGATATGGTAGCTAGAATTGATATAGTACTTTAAGATTTACAATGAGCTTTTTAATCTCATTTGAGCCTCACAACAACTCTGTGAGGTAGGCGTTATTATTATTATCCCCATTTTATAGGTAGGGAAACTGAGGGCCAAGAGAGGTAAAGTGACTTGTCCAGTTAGTAAGTATCTGAGGTAGGATTTGAACTCAGGTCTTCCTAAATCCAAGTCAAATACTCTATCCATAGTGACAATTAGCTGCTCTACAAAATGAGGGGGTGGGACTAGATAAGTCTCTAAGGTATCTCCTAGCTCTTATTCTATGATCCTGTGATCCTATGAAGAGGGTCTCTCCCTCATCCCATAAGGAGACAGTCACTATTCTTTGCTGCCCTGTTATATAGGAAGAGCAGAAAAATGTTCTACCATGGCTTTTCCCCCAAGCTACTCAAATTTTCTTTTCTTCTCACAGGATCAAAGTTTCTTTTCCTTCCCTTTCCTCTTGCCATTGATGAGAAGATAAGCAAAGCTTTCTCTCACATTCTTCTTCTCTTCTCTCCACTCCTCTCCACTTTTCTCTTCTCTCTCCTGTTTCCTGTTCCACGAGGTAGAAGGATCTATTCAGGAATTGGCCTTATACATAGATGGAGGGAAAGTCCCTTAGGTGGTATAAAACTTCCCTGCCTAGAGATATCTTCCACACTATGGATGCAATACCCAGTTCACTCTTCAACGAGTTAAAATCCATGTCCACTATAAGCGATACCAACATTGGGAAATCAGGAGTCCTAAGGAAACACAGGGTGGGAATGAATAGAATCAGAAAGGTGTTGTCTAAGCTTATTTAGGGTATGTTTCAGTGGAGGGTTGGGGAGACCAGAAGACATTATGAAGTTACTACATGGAGTAATAAGGGAAAGGGCTGGAAGGGTAAAAAGAAATAAATACAAATTTGTGTTATTCATAATTTCAAAGAATCAGAATTGGAAGCTATGTAGTCTAAGCCAGACTTGAACAGGAGTACCTTCTATGACATACCAAACAAATGGTAAAACAGCCTCCAGTGAAAGACTTTCAGGAGTGGGGAAGAATCTGTCACCTCCCGAGGCAGCCCATTTCACTTGAGGACAGCCCTAATTATCAGTAACATTTTCCTTCCACTAAACCAAAGTCTCTCTCTTTATCTTCCACCCACTGCCCCTAGGTCTTCCTTCTGGGGCCAGGTAGAACACGTCTAATTCCTCTTGCAATGATGGCCAATTTGAATAATACTTGAAGACACTGATTATAGTTTCCGTGTCTTTTCTGGTTAATCAGCATCCCACCTCCCATTTTCCTACAAAGGAATATGAGTGAGATCAGTATGGTCTTCAATAGCACCAAAATGATTTCTATTAGCCCTGCACTAAAATCAATTCCTTTTTCAGAGATGGGAATGATTGGGATAGAGGACATTGCTTGGGCCTATGCACTTATTCTGAAAATAGAACCCATTCTGACCAAAGTATCAACTTCAGGTGCCATAGGCGCTGAACTGGCTCCATAGATCATGCATCCATTCATCCATTCATTTGATAAGTATTCATCAAGCACCAAAGAGTTCAGTGCAACCAGTATAGTTCCAACACAAACTCTGTACTCACACATACATTTTACCCGAGGATCTCAAAGCACCTTATAGAACCATAGAGTCACAGAGTGGAAGGGGATCTCATGAAATTTGTTACATACCTCAGAAGGAAGCCCCCCCTTTTTTTACAGCATCTCCAACAAGTGGGGATTCAGCTTCTGTTCACTAAGCTCTTGGAATGGGGAACTCATCCCTCTGTCCCCTCCCCCAGGCTTCACATTCTATCCTGGGATAACTTTAGTTGTTAAGAAGTTTTTCTTTATAAGGCTGAGCTAAAGTTTGCTTCTCAGAAGCTTAATGGTTTTGCAGACATCCCATCAGGGAGTATCATTGAACCCCTATGAGGTAGTGACAAGGCAGGTAACAGCATTATAATTTCTAAATGGAGAGACTGAATCACAAAGAGAAGAAATGACTTGACCAAGGTCACACAGTAAGTTGGTCATGAACAGAACAGTTGCTTAATAAATACTTGCTGAATGAACTTAGATCCATTCCCTTGGAGTCAAAAGCTTCTCCATAGACCTCTGAGGGCATCATCATATCCTTCTAAATAGACTGGCTCCACTGTTTTTTATACCAATGTGGGTTTCAAGTCCTCTCTGAAGTTCACAATGGGGTGGGACCTGGCATACAGTTTGGCCCAGTGGGCTGTGCCCTGTGGCGGTTCAGGATCATTCTCAGAGGAACTACTGTCACCGGAGTCGCTGGAACTCTGGAAGCAGATGTCACAGTAAGGCCGATGGCAGCGGCAGAATGGTTCATCAGAGCTGCTGGATTCAGAGTCGCCATAGTCACACAGGGAAGGCAGGGCTGGCCAGCCCATACCACTGAGCTGTGGTCTCTCCAGCCGGAGGAGATTTGACGGGTCACTGGAAAGGAGAGAGGCAACTTGATTTTCTACAGAAGCAGAGCAGGACGACTGGTTTGGAAATCCATCTCTTACTCTTATTCTGGTTCTGGGATCCTCAGACTGGCTCTGCCTGTTCTCAGCCTGGGGACTCAGACTACCATGGGCTGGAGTGAGCAGGGAAGGTCTCCGTGAAAGGAACTTTTGTCCTTCAGGATCCCCAGCCTGGAGTTCCTGGTTGAACCTGTTCTCCCTCTGAACCTTCAGCCCAGTCTGTGTCCTAGAAACTGTCTTGTTCATTAGGCACCATGTTTGTGAAGGCACAGACCCTGGGAAATGCATGGAGGCTCTCTGGGCTGCCCGTCTCCTTCTCACCATATATGGGCTAATGCCCATGTCGTTAGAGGGAGACCTCTTTTGGGGACTGTGGGCAGCACTGTCCTCTTGGTACACCCTGGGGCTGAGGCAATGGGGACCACTGGGAGGACAAGAAGGGTAAGTTACTTTGCCCAGACTCAGTTCTTGTAAGACCTCTTGAAGCATCTCACTGCTCACATAATTAATCTTTGATGGCTGCTCTTGGGGCGCCGGCTTCTGTCTCTGAGGAATGCTGGCTTTGGGATCTGGTATAAGATTCTGGCTTGGGGATGTCAGCCCCTGGTCTTCTGCTTTCGGACTGCCACTCTGGGAAGTCTGAGGCTTCTGGGTATTTTCTAAGCGTAAATGGTTAGATGTGTCTTCTGAGTCAGAACTCTGCTCCTGGTGTTGTGGGGAAGAGTTTTGGGCCTTGACATGATCCTTAAGGCTCTGTAAACTAGTAAAGAGGGCTGGAAAGACAGGGCAGGGCTCCCCAGCAGAATCTGAAGGACTATTGAAGAGACCTTCAGCTGCCACACCCCCGTGGACAGAGGCTTCGCTGGGGCTAGCCCTGCCCTGAGCAAGGCTGGGAGTGGCAGCTCCGTTAGGGTGATCTCCTGACATCAGTCTCATCAGTTTCTCCTTTGCATTCTTCACTTGCTCCTGTAGGCTTTCAATCACAGCATTTTTCTGTAAAAATCAAAGTCAAATTGTCAATGAGAGGGGGAGAAAGGAGAGAGGGAGAGAGACAGAGAGACAGAGAGACAGAAAGAGACACACACACACACACACACACAGAGCATTGAGCATTCTCACAGTGCCTTTATTTCTGGGATTAATGTCTTATCTTTCTTATAATTTGAGAGCTTAATGAGCTACATTCTCAATGGAATGAGCTACATTACATTGAAAAGCTACATTTGAGAGCTACATTCTTAGATCTAGAGGTGGAAGGGATCTTGGAGGAAGTTAAGTGACTTGCCCAAAATCACACAGGTAGTAAACACCTGATGTTTACTGACTCCAGAGTGGACTTCTTTTTTAACTGAGCACTAAATTCCACCAGGTCAGGCCATATTTTTTTAAATCTAAGTAACCTATAGAGAAACCTCTGGCAACTCCAAAAAATCAGTCCCCACAAGAGAGTTCTTAGTCTATTTTTATCTAGCTATAGACTTTCTTCATTCTGGCAAAATTGGCCCATTTGATGGACTTCACTTAAAACCTTCCATTTCTTTTTTAAATTTTTCATTTTTTTCAATGAACAAAAATCAATTTTCTCTCCCTCCCACCACTCCACCCCCCTCATATTTGGAAAAAGAAAAAAAAAGGAAACCCTTGTAACAAATAGACATAGTCATGTAAAACAAATTCCCACATTGAACATGTTCAAAAATATAGGCCTCATTCTACATTCTGTGGCCAGCAGAGGTCAGGAGGTGGGTAGCCTGCTTCACCATTGGTACTATGGAATCACTGGTGGAATCACCTCTCTATACCTTTTCCCAATCTTCAGAATGCACTCCTTCCTTATCTCTACCTCTTAGAATCCCTTCAAGGTTCAAAAGCCACATCCTACAACAAGCCTTTCTTGATTCCCTTAGTTTTAGGTCTTTCCCCCCGAAATTACTTTGTATTTATCTTAGTATATGTTATTCCCCTGTCCTCTCAGGATAAAAAAAAAGGAGGAAAATGACTCATACAAACAAGTTCATCCTGTGAATTAGTGGCATGACATAAAAGCTACTTGAGGCCTGGGACGGTTTCATTTTTGTCTTTGTATTTGCAGTAACTATAAGCATAGCACCTATAACATAGTAGGTACTTAATAATGCTTATTGAATTGAATTCTAAAAAAGGTTACATGAATTTATTCTCATCTACTAAAATAATTATTCTTAAAAACTCTATTCTTGTTACTTTTGAGGTTTAAGTATCTTAAATTAAAACCCTGTAGAGGTTTTAGATTATATGAAGAATCTTTTTTACAAAATTATTTAAAAATCTGATCTCTAAATTTTTTAAATGATTTTTATTCTGCCTGAAAGCAATATGACTCTTTTTCTATGCCATATAGGAATCAATTTCCTATTTCCCTTTTCGGAGCCTCAGTTTCTTCCCCCTTATAGGGGAGCCTTCTTAATGACTAGATGCTCCTAGTAGATGAGAGAATCTAGCTCTTAATCCTATGACCACTAAAGTGTTTTTCAGCTAATATTCTTTGGATCTACTCTTCCGGGTTACTTCTGCCTGCAAGTCCAGGCTCATTCCAATGTATCAAGCCCCAAATGAAGATGGGCAGAATCTAGAGATTAGTAATGTCCTATGCGGCATCATCAACAGGGCTTAGTTATTGAGGAGAAGCAGAGGTAGAGGTGGGTTGTCACTGCTTCCTTCCTCCTTCTGAGAAGGTAGGCATATCCCTCTTATTACCAGGCAATTTCTGGAATGCCTGCTGGGGCAGGCTGGGTGAGTCACACTTTCTCAGAAGAAAGAATCTGAGGAACATCCTCATGGAAATAGGTGAAGGGAGGAGCAAAGGATATGTCCCATTGAACAACACAGAAATGCAAGAGAGATGATACATGTGGAAAGAAGGAAACCTGAGCTAGGGATGGTGCTTTCATAATCTCTGATCCAAATAGATATAACTTGAGCAAGGGGAGGGAGGACGTGCTCTCGGTGGGACAGGCTGAACCTAGTCAGGCCTCTGTGATGTCATCAGAAAAGGTTCTAATTTGACTCCTGCCCCTGATTCACAGTATGACGCTGTTTGGGCAAGTTGCCTTCCCTCTTTTGAAAAATAATTTGAAAATTAAAAGAAATCTGTTTTCTCCCTACCCCCATTCCATTGAAAAGAAAAAGAAAAGCAAAATCCTTGTACTGTCACAAATATGCATAGTCAAACAAAACAAAACAAAAAGCTCTGGTCCTCAGTTTCCTCATCTGTAAAATGGAGGAAGATTGGAAAGTCTTATGGTTTAGCCATTAACTGACAAAAGCATTCATATTTTCCTTCACAGTGACCTGGTAAATGAAGAGCAAGGTTGGATATGTTAGTTGGGCAATGGTTGGGAATGTTGGCCGTTATTGAGCAGTAACTGATAGATTTTATATAGCTAAGGTTTACAAAGTTACCTGTGTGTTATCTGACTGGATTCTCATGAGAACCTGTAAAGTCGGTGCTATTATTGATAATAAAATTAAAATTGAGCAACATCAAATATCTTTCCCAGGGTCATATAGCTAGTGAATGTCCAAGGCAGGAGTTGATCTCTGGTCTTCCTAACTCAAGACTTGTGCTATCTACCTTCTACCACCTAGCTGCCATTTGACGACGGGGGTAAGCCTAAGGAGGGTTATTTGGGTTTTTTGTTTTTTTTTGTTTTTTACCCAGTCATATTTATTGGAGCAACACAGAAGTTATGAGGTAAGTATTTTCTGAGAACAATAGCTCATCCTCAGATGTTCCCATTTTTAAAAGTTTATAATACTACATAATGAGTTGACATGTTTGCAATGACTTACTAAGATGTAGTGTAGATTTTTGCCACTTGACAGGAGGAGGCTCTTGAAAGATTCAGTAGTTCGAGTAGGTAACATATTTCTTTTTTTTCTCTTATTTTTCAAAAAATTTTAATAGTATTTTATCCTTTCTTTTCCCCCAGTTACATGTCAAGAAAATTTTTAGCATTCAGTTTTACAAGATTTTGAGTTCTGAATTTTTCTCCCACCTTCCCTGGGGAAGATTATTTGGTTGGAAGACCAAGAGGCATTACGTAAGGATAAAAATGTGGGCCAGTAGAGTGTTATTGGCAATTATGTTGCATCTGCTTTGTGCATGGCATTATACAGACGTGCTGCCTTCTTCCCTAGATTGTATGCTCTTCAAAGGCAAGGACTATTTCACTTTTGTCTTTGTATCTCCCAGTTCCTAGCATACAACAGGGGCTTATTAAGATACAGTGATAGGGGAAGCTAGGTGGTACAGCAGATAGAGCACAGGCCCTGGAGTCAGGAGGACTTGAGTTCAAATCCAACCTCAGACACTTACTAGCTATGTGACCTAGGGCAAGTCACTTAACCCTGACTGTCTCCAGAAAGAAAGCTTTAAAAAAAAAAAAGATAGAGCAATAGTTCCTGAACAGATTTTACAGGTGAGTAGAGAGAAGAAGACTGACCTTTCCTATTCCTGTGGGCACTATTGTGATAATGAACCATTAGACTTTGGGTCCAACAATGACAGGGATTTATATTCATATATGACACAATATTTGTACCATGTGTCAGGGACACCAGAGGTCATCCAACTATGGCTAGTGGGCCTGTTTTTTGTAAGACAGGGACTAAAAATTTTTTTTCATTTTTAAGTAAAATTTTATCATATTTTAAAATACACAAACCACTCTTATAATGGGCCACGAAAAAACAGGCAGCAGGTGGGATTTGACTCCCAACTGTAGTTTGTCAACCCATTTTTTAGAAGGACAAAAACTGAAATGCTAAGGAAAGATGCCAACATTCAAATCCTGGTTATGCCTCTTATCACCTGTGTGACCCTGGGCAAGTCACTCCATTTCTCTGGGCCTCTTTTTTTTCCTTCTTTGTAAAAGAAGGGGGTTGGTGATGATCCCTACAATCCCTTACAATTCTAAATCTAGGCTTTGTGAGTGGCTTGGATGTGAAAGGGATAAGCCAGTGGTGGGGAACCTGGGACTTGGAGGCCATATGTGGCCTTGAGGATGTAAAGTTTGGATTCAGTCAAAGTGCCACACCTGAGGGCCTAGAGGGCCACATGTGGCTTTGAGGCTGCAGGCTCCCCATCCCTGGGATAAGCCATATGTAGAGCTTGCCTTTGGCCCATACCTAGTTTGCATGAATTGAGTGCAGGGAAATGAGGTGTTTAAGGCATCAGTGACTAGTTAGAACAGACAAACAGAAGCCAACTTGGGCCATAGTGCTGGAGTGGGAAGGTGGTAGGGGAGGCTCATGCTTCTACCGGAAGCACCTCTGGCTGAGCTCCTCACTGTAAGAGGCCACTCCAACCCCACTGAATAGACTCTCAAATCCGTTCTTCCTTCATCTCCCGAGACAGTGCTTTTCATTTATAAGCATGAAGGCAGGGTTTTTTTTCCTGTTTCTTCCTGTTAGGGCTATTAAGGATCTGGATAATCCTGCTCTGTTTGTTCAGTTTCCTTATCAAAAACAGATACTACAGTGAAGGTCCGGGTCACAGGGGAGCTGATGGTGTATCAGACAGAAGGAGCCCCTACCTACTGAAGGCCCACATTTCTTCCTTTCACCCCCTCAGGCAATAAGATCTTGGGTGTTGTCAGGTGAGTGAGAATGACTCAGGCTCAGTTAAGGGCAGTGTGGGTGAGTAATAGGATGTATTCAACTCAAGGTAACTGTTCTGTACAGTACCAGTCTTTCTTCTACTTGGATGTCTAAGTAAAGGCAGCCCCACCCTTTCTACCAAAGCTGTCCCTTTCTTGAGTGGAAAGCAGACACTGAAGAAGACAGGCAGTATGGGCTAGTGGATAGGGCACTAGCCTTGGCAGAGTTCAAATTCTACTTTAGATATTTGTTAGCTACGGTAAGACTTGGCCAAGTCACTGAACCTTTCTCAGCCTCAGTTTCCTCATCTGTAATACAGGGATAATAATAGCATCTAACTCACAAGGCTATTGTGAGGCTCAAATTAGACATTTGTAAAGCCGTTTGCAAACCTTAAAGCTCTAGAAACACTGGTTTGTTGTTGTTCAGTCATTTCAGTTGTGTCCAACTCTTTGTGACCCCATTTGGGGTTTTCTTGGCAAAGATTCTGGAGTGGTTTGCCATTCCTTCTCCAGCTCATTTGACAGATGAGGAAACTGAGGCAAACAGACTTAAGTGACTTGTCCAGGGTCACCCGGCTAGGAAGTTTCTGAGGCCAGATTTGAACTCAGGAAGATAAGTCTTCCTGATTCTAGGCCCAGCACTCTATCCCTGTATCACCTAGTTGTCCCCATACATGCTAGCTACTACTACTTAATCTCCCCATGCCTCAATTTTCTTTTCTATAAAATCAGAGAATTGGACTCAATGGTGTCTCAGGTCTCTATCACTTTTAAATTTATGATGCAAAGTCCCTCTTACAAATGTAATAGTCTGACCTTCAAGAGGAAATTTCAACTATACAATGTTGGTAAGAGGGTCTGGGGGTGACAATCAGCTTACAAGGCTAGTGAATAGTTGGGTGGTTGGTTCCTTTAAAAAGGCTTCCCTTATCTCCCCCTCAAACCACTTGGAATACAGGACAATAGTATAAACATGGAGCAGGGTAAAGATGATCTTCCCTTAACCCAAGCACCCCAAAGTGATTGATGGCTGATTTAATAATGTCAAACTAAACAATACATCTCTGTCACTAAGTAAAGAAAGAGGGGCTGTGCTATCACCAAGACTCTATACTAATTAGAGGCACAAGGTCAGGAGCTGCCGTTTTGAGACCAAAATCTGACCTACTTTAGGCAGCTGTCTTTGGCTGAGCCTTATTCATCTCTGTTTTCTGCACATCCCTATAATTGGAAGGAAAATCTCCACAGGCCTGTCTCATAATGTAAAGTCAACCAGGAAAAGAGGAAATCCCCTTCTGTTTAGGCAGTGCCAAGAGAGAAAAAAAGGAATGAATGAGCTTCCTCTACTGGTTACTGCAAGAGTAACTTCTGCCCTGGGAGCATTCTCACCATCAGGAAGTATGCAGACCCAGGGAGCCAGCCCAAGAAACCCTGATTTCTTCCACATATGTAGCTCTGTGCTGGGGGAGTAGAGCCAAGGTCAACTGGGAAAGCTAGGAGTGAGAAGAAGGTGTGACTTTCAACTTTGTGATAGAGTCCTTGAAAGAGGCAGAAGACAGTCCAAGACATTAAAATAACACATTCATACAAAAGGTAGGGCAGCTAGGTGGCACCATAGTGCACAGAGCACCTGGGTCTGGATTCAGGAAGACACATCTTCCTGAGTTCAAATCTGGCCTCAGGCACTTACTACCTGGGCAAGTTACTTAACTCTGTTTGCCTCAGTTTCCTCATCTGTAAAAAGAACTGGAGAAGGAAATGGCAAACCACTCCAGTATCTTTGCCAAAAAAACAAAAACCCAAACCCAAATGCGGTCATGAAGAGTAGGACACAACTGAAATGACTGAATAACAACAAAAGCAATGAAAGGTAGGGTGATGTAGGGGATAGAACACTGGGCTTAGAATCAGGAAGACATGAATTCAAATCCCACCTCAGGTACTTCCTAGCTGTGTGACCCTGGGTAAGTCACATAACTTCTTGGTGCCTCACTTTCCTCATCTTTAAATTGAAGGGATTAGAGTTGATGTCCTCTGAGGTCCCTTCCAGTCCTAAATCTACAATCTTATATAGTCCTTTAAAATTGCCAAAATGTTGCCTCATATGTGTCTCCCAACATGCCCAAGAGGTAGGTACTGAAGCTATTTATTATCCCAATTTTGTAGATTAAGAAACTAGGACTCAAAGAATTTATGTGACTTGTCTAAGATCACCCAGCTGCACTGGAGGACATTAAACCTGCAAAGCATTCAAGATCAACCTTGCCCTAGATTACATATGAGTCAGGGAACAGTCAGGCTGATGTGCATATGCGTTAAGGGGAGAGAGAATTAAGGGCAATTATTTTTACCCAATGGGTTTACAAGTCAGGAATGCTAGAATCTGTTATAGCCCCAAGAATTAGGCAGGGACTAGAGACCACCCCTTGGAAATGACTGCTGATTTCCCTGATCTGAGCCCATAGCGTGTCTCCCAGGGGTCTGGCAAATCCCCAAGGCACACAGGCTGTGGTTGGAAGGCACACCCCGCCCGAGGCCCTGCAAACCTCACTGCAGACAAAAGGCTTACGCTGCATCCTCCTTTGTACCTCATCTGTGGTTCCCCTCCCCCTAACTAAACTAATGACATCTCTTTGGGCAGAAAAGATTCATTCACCTTGTGAGAAAGATGATATACCATGGCTGAAACACACACACACACACAAAAAGGATGTCACAAATTACCGCAGAGGTTAAAGACTAGGTCTGTTTGGCTGCCTGTGACATTTGCTGACTGAGAATGAAAAACATCTAGCTATTTTCCCCTCTTTTATGTGCTTACATATCGTCTCCTTTTTTTTTTTTTTAAAGATCCTGTTTGAAGTCTCCTCACTCAGTATCAAAGACCATGTATCTGTCTTTGCCAGGCTGAAAGACATCTGGCTTTGAAATAAAATCCTGAATGCTGAAGAGCTGGAAAAGAGTAGATCTTTCTGACAGAAATGGTGCTGATCTGAGCACAGGACGACATGAGAAAAGAGGGGAAGGGGATCTATGCAGCATTTCTTTGCCTTCCTTCTCTTTTAGGTTTGAAATCTATATTTTCCTAGTAATCATCATGTCAAGCTCTCAGAAAGGGAAAACTGATGCCTACTCTGGTGTCCTAACATGAAAACAAAGAACCGTGTTAATTTCCTTTTCTATTTGTAATTGTTGCCTGGACCAGATTGGTATTAAGAGTGATATCAGAAAGACTTAGATGACCTCCAAGGTCCCTTCCAGATCTAAATCTATGATCCTATAATATTAGAGCAGCGAGGTGACCTAATGGATACTGCCTGGAGTCAGGAGGACTCATCTTCCTGAGTTCACATCTGGCCTCAGATACTTCCTAGGTGGGCAAGTCACCTGACTCTGTTTGCCTCCTTTCCCTCATCTTTCAAATGAGCTAGAGAAGAAAATAGCAAACCACTCCAGTATCTTGGTCAAGAAAACTCGTGAAGAGTTAATGTGGCTGATGACCACAACAACGAACAACAACAACAACAACATGATATCAGCATAATAAAAGCTCCCCTCTTCACTTCCCTGCTCCCAGGAAGTATGATCAGTCTCCATTTCTAGAGGCCACATGGAAACTTGGGAGGGGCCAGCTTCCCGTTATGTATGATTATCTCTGAGGAGCTTACAGTGGGAGAGGAGAGTTCCCTAATTGGCTGCTGAGTTGAAACCCAGAGCTTTTCAAATTCACAAGGCTCAATTCATGGACTTGTCCATACTGGGATAGTCATTTGCCTAAGATCAGGAGAGAACAAATACAGGAGGGGCAAAGGCATCCAGGGGCTCCAGGACAGCATGCCTTGCTGAGTTCCTGGTCCGTGGGGGGAATGGTGGTAGGCTCCCCATGAGATGAGGCAAGGAAGGACCCAAGTTTCATAGTGCCATCTGGAGAGTAAAAGCTGAGAACACAGCCGGAAAGGGAAAAAAAGACAGAGACAGGATAATCCCTTTAGTATGTCTACCGAGTCATCAGCTCCTCTGACTCAGCAGCCAATTACCGAATTCTTTGTCCTCTCCCATTGCAAGCCCCTCAATGAGGAGTCATAAACAGCTGGAAGCTGCCCCCACCCTTATCCCAAAAGCTTCCATGTGAACACCAGGAAGGCAACTGAGCATGCTTAAAGGGGGAGAGGGAGAGAGGCAGAAAGAAGGGCTCCGCTCTGCTATAATTATATTATTTTATGACTTTAACCATTGAACAAAAAAAACTAATCACATTGCTACTTGGAAAAGCCACGCATCCTATTACAAATAGCACACACTCAAAAAAAATGTGCTTATTCATGTACTCTACTAGAAATACAAAACACTATAATGAAAAAATTCAACTTTTAAAATTAATTTGAAAAATTTTTAAATTAAAACAATCACCACCAAACCCTTTAATTTAATTCAGCTAGTGTAAAAAGTCACAGTGAGTTCCCTTCCATCAGCCTCTGCTCCTTTCTAATATACCTGATGCTGACCTCACTATGTTATGTAATGCTGACACAGCCTGAGAAAAGTAACACTTGGACTCTTAAATAGATATCCAGGCTTGATTGGAGCATTGCCAATGTCTGGCCAAAAGGGAAAAGATTCTAGTGGGTTTCTTGGCCTCCTCCCTCATTCTGATCTAACATGACTGCAGAAGACCCTGTTTAGTTTTCCTTTCCCCCCTACCTGGATCCAAGGCTAGTGTTATAAGTGGTATCAGAGAGGCATCAACCAAGGAACGAAAGGTTAATCTTGTCATTACTCTTGATAAAGTCAGTGATTAAAAAAAAAAACAAAAACAAAACCCACATCTCTTTGAGTCACTATATCTTTGGTGTTGATTTTTTGTAGAAATCGAGGAAAAAGTGAGAAAAATTAAGAAAGGGGAGACAGACAGCACAGCAGTGTAGCCACTGATGCATCAGAAGAGAGAAGTATTTGGGGTTGCCTTTTGTTCTGATTGAGCTGCCCAGTGGGTGTAGCCCACCTCGGTCAGGAGTTTTTTCATGGAGTTCTTCTCCCCTATTAGATGGTAAATCTGCTCCTCACTATATGGGGTATAGAAGCTTTTGCTGGGGCTGTTGAAGTATTTTGCCATATGGCCAACTGTTTGGTTTTCTTCATCAAATGGCTTCCACTGCTTCAGCTGTTGGGTAAAAAAAAAACACAGACTATTTATTAAATTACACACTCAGAAACTAGTGCATGCGGGTGTGTACACAGACACACATGCACCACATTCTCTCTTATACAAACACAAATGCAATCATAGAAACAAAGCACATGGGCTCCCAGAAAACCATTCTAGTTTTGAGACATTTGGCATGTCATTATCCATTCAAAACCATGGCTCACAAGCCCACACTATTCTGTTTGTTTTTACTAGGGCAACCAGAGGACATATTAGTTTAGAGCGAAAGTCAATATGCCTTTTCCTACTGGCAACTAAAATCACTATAACTGTAACTAGGTATAAGTCCAAACATATTTTCTTCCCTTCACAATTATTTAAAAGCTAATACTTGATAACATCAAGGTTTTTTTTTTAAGTATGGAATGCTTCACAAATTTCCATGTCATTCTTGTGAATGGTACTGGAGTTATATACTCTACTGGAAATACAAAATATCATAATAAAATAATATGTGAAGGGGCCATGCAAACCTCTATATTATTCCAATTTTAGTCTATGTTCTGCCAAAGCAAAGACATCTTTTTTTTTTAAAGTCCAGGGACAGGTGCACCTATACTAGTTCTAATTCAGTCATTCATCATGGTAGGGAAATGACCTGGAATTCTTGAAGAGTATGTCAGCAGAGTACAAACTCTAGCACTGGAAGAGTTTCAAGTAAGAGTCTGGCAACAGGATGCATGTCTGCTACCCCAGGACCAGGTCAGCTAAATTTGAAGAGGCTCATCACTAAAAATGGTTGGTTACTAGGTGACAGCAACTCACAACTCCTGTCTACTAAGGCAAGAAGAGAATGCAATCTGGGTCAGTGGATGGATTACCCATACTAATGATATCATAGGTCCCTTGAATTATTAAAAGAAGGATATATGTGAAGAACATTTGTTTCTCACCAAAATAACTGAGGATACCAGTCATTAGGGAAAGATGGCGGAGGACAAAAACCTTATCATATGGTGTTGGGTGAGTGATATATCATCCCTGGGCCTCAATTTCTTCATTTGCAAAATAAGGAGGTTGGATTAGCTGGGTACTAAGGTTTGGGGTTTTTTTTTTCCACTCCAAACTGATGATCTTTCCCATTAGCCACCCACCAAATCAGAATTGATGTATTATACTATTTACAATGCATTGAATTGTTCCAGAACTGAAAGTATATTCCAAATATCAGAATATTTCCACTGCGAAATGATTCCTATTTGTATACAGTTATTTACTTCACATCTTACTAAGCAGCAACAGTATACTTGGTCCTTCTGAAAACATTCTTTGCCTGATGAATTTAAGCCGGGCTCAGGGACTATGTTTTTGCCTTTCTTTATATCTCCAGTACGTTGCTGGCACATAGTAGGTGCTTTATAAAAGCTTGTTGACAGACTGGCTGACTGACAGAGAGAAATCAACAAACACCAGTCTTTATGTTGGTTGACTACACAGGGAAATATCCCCAGAGAAGCAAATCTGGAGGAATAATCTGAAAAAATGGAGGTCTAATTAGTGTAATTCATCAATACATCAGCAAGCATTTATTAAGCACTTTTAAATGCCCGGCATTGTACTAGATGCTGAGATTTGAAGTAAAAAATGAATCAGGTCCTATCTTTAAGGAGCTGATGTTCTATAAAGGGAAGCAATAGGCACACACAAAAGTGGGTAAATATACATGGTAAATACACAATTTTTTTGCGGGGGACACTAGCAGCTGGGGCATAAGAAAAGGTCTCACGTGGGAGGTAGCACTTGGAACTGAGCTGTGTTGGGAAGTAGGGATTATAAAAGGCAGAGGTGGGGGTGGTACGGCACAGGGGCATCTGCAGAAAGTCACATACCTAGGCTGGGACTTGAGGGGCACTGTTGCCACCTGGTGGATGCCCACTAAAGAAAATGTCAAGTGAGTCCATGAACACGGAGGAGTCACTTTTGTTGTCAGGCCCGTTGGCCTACCACGCCCCTTGTCCCTGAATGTTCCTAGAACTCACTCAGAAGACTGAGGTACCCGGGGTAGATAGGAATGATATGATAAGAGAGGTTAAAGGCCCTTAACCTCATTTGTGTCCTTGACCCCTTTGTGTTTTTAAATATCAAATAAAATCTATTGGACTGCAAAGGAAACCAATTGTATTGAAATACAGTTATTAAAATATTTTTTAAAAGTTCATGGACACCAGGTGAAGAACTCCTACTTTGGATGTCCTACGGCAGCCTCATTTAGCCTGCTCCTACCTCCAAAATTTACCTGAGATGGCATACATATCCAGTAGTATGTCATACTGGTGCATTAGCCCTATGTACTGAAACGGGGACCTTGGAGGGCTCAACTGAAACAAACACTGATGAGTAGTGATTACCTTGCTGATTGACAAAAGTTATCTTTACACTCTTTAAAAACTTGTCAACAACTATTTAGTTATAAAACACATTTCTTTGGCATGCATGCCTCTTCAACAGCATCTGTCAACTGGTTTCATCAGGCCCTTCAGGCCTTCCTAATGGTCCTCTGGATTAGTCCCCAAAACTCATGGCCCTTTACTAACAGATTCTTCCAATATTACTCAACCACACCCACCTTCTGTTACAAGATTATAGCCTGAGAGCCAGAGGAGACCTCAGAGGTCATCTGGTCCAACCTCCTCATTTTGCAAATGAGCAAACTGAAAAAGAAGGAGGTTAGATGGTTTGCCCAACCAGGTGGTACGCAGTAGAGGCAGGGATTGAACACAGGTCCTTGGAAGTCAGAGCCAGTATTCTTTCCACTTTACCAAACAACTCCAGGTAGGATAACAAAAAAAGGAATCATTTATCTGATTCCCACATTAATCTTCCTTTCTATGAAATTTTATTGAAGTTTTCCCATTTGCTTGGAACAATTATTTCAAAGCTAAAAGTAGGCGACATCTACCTGTTCTTCAGTAGCCATAATTCATTATCCACAGAAGAAAGCTCTATTCAATCAAGAGTACCCTTGAGGGCCACACATAAGCAAAAGGTAAATTATGTATAACTTTAGTTTTTTTTTGAGAAAAATATGGGATGTACAATTCACAACCTTAAAATATTGAGGAGAAACATAAAACTTTATGGAAGAAGTACCACAAACACTAAAATGTACACTACAGTTAATATATGGTTAGAGGATAGAGAAAGATATAGAGACAGATGTGGGGGAAAAAACTAGAAAGAATGGTAGAAAGAAGAGAGAGGGAGATGACCAGAGGAAAAAGAGGGTAAAAGACAAAAGAAGAAAAGCCAAGATCTCTAATTTTCTCGATCCTCATTCCCAATAAGAACTCCTGTTCCTCTCCACCCCAAGAAATCAATGCCTGTTAACTACATAGATCTTTGATATTGTATTTAATACTGTATTAACAGTATTGTATTAATATTATAAACTAGCCTACAACTCATGTTTTCTTCTACATTTTAGGTGTGTATGTATCGACATCTGAATATACCTTCATGCTGTATTTTAGATAAGAGGCAGTGTGGTTTAGTGGAATAAACCCAGGACTTTTTCGATAACATGTAAGCTTCTTGAGGACAGGGATGATTTTTACTTTTTGTCATTATATCCCCAACCCCTTGCACAATGCCTGGCATATAACTGTCTGGTTGGCTTCAGAATGAAAAGATCAGGGTTCTAGTTTTGGTTATGACATTACTAGGTTTGATGATATTATTTGGGTGACCTGAGGGAAGTCATTTAACCTCTCTGGGCTTCAGTTTCCTTACCAGGAGAATGGAAATGTTGTCAGCTTTGCCCACCTCACAGGGCCGCTGTGATGATTAAACAAAATACTACATATAGAAGGGTCTTTGTAACTGAAAAGTCCTATAAAATGTGACTTTATTACTACAATCTAGAGCAAGAATTCTTAACCGAAACTCTATGAATTCGTTTTTAAAAAATATGTATTTTTGATAACTCTATTTCAATATGATTGATTTCCTTTGCAATCCTATGTATTTCATTTTATGCATTTAAAAATATTGTTCTCAGATGGTGGGGAGGAGAGGAGCATCCATAGGCTTCCCCAGACTTCCAAAGGGTTCTATCTCTCACACACACACACACACACACACACACACACACATACACACGGGGTTGAGAATTCTTGCTCTAGAGAAACACTGGGTTAATGAAGACACCAAAGTACAGACTGACCTCTGAAGAAAAAAACTCAGTAATTTTTTTATGCATTTACTTCATCTGTGCAAAGATAACCTCAGGAAAAAGGGGGAAGAAGGATAGAGAATGGGTAGGGAGACAGATGCTTGGTTGGGAGGAAGAAGATGGCTGCTATAGATAGAGTAATGAGTGTGTGGGGCAAGGGTGAGGAGCTGCCTGAAGACTTTCTAGCCAGATGTAGCCCCTGACTAATTCCATCTGTAGACCTTATTGGAAAATGGTACTCCTCTCAAATGTAACCCCAGGGTGCCCAAAGCTGTTAAGGGAAAGGCAGTTTGATATAGTGGATGCAACAGTGGATCTGGAGTTACAGTAGACTGTGATTCAAATCCTACCTCAGATATTTACTAGCTGTGTATCCCTAGCTGGGTTAGTCAAAACCTCTTTCAGCTTAAGTTTCAATAAATTGGAGATCATAATAGGACCTATGTCCCAGGGTTGTTGTGAGGAACAAATAAGAGAAAATTTGTAAGGCACTTTGCAAATCTTAAAGTGTTATGTAAATGCTAGCTTTTGTTATACTTATTATTATCATTATCATCATCATCATTAGAAAGAAAAAGCAATCACAGCTTTGGTCCAGCACCTAGCTATTATTTAAACAGCTCTGGCAATCAATTCCACTTTTGAACAGCTCTAATTTGGGAATAGGGCAGCTAGATGGCCCAGGGCATAGCTAATGGGCCTGGAGATGGGAAGACATCTTCCTGAGTTCAAATCTGGCCTCAGATTCTTACTAGCTGTGTGATCCTGGGCAAGTCCCTTAACC